TTGTCAGCTCCAGAAATACTTGCTAGAGTCATAACACTTTGGAAATCTTTTGGAAACAACCTTTGTGTTAAATCCCCTCTCCACTCGAAGGATGACAAAAGGCAGATGTCCACCTGCCTCAGGCAAAATATGAAAGACCTATGTGTCTTACAGCCCTCAACTAAAATATTTCCCAGTCCTCAGCATCAACACTTGCAGAAGATACCAGCCAGTTTCCCTTAGGTGTGGGTTCATTTTCCCTGGGAAAATGACAATATTCCAGTTTCCATCTTCTGTTCTTCAGCTCCCATTAACAACATAATGACTAACCCAAAAATATTCTCTTCAGAGAAGAGAAATGCTCTCTTCAGCTGCTCTTTATCAGTACCTACATCAGGATTCAAACCATACTTTCTTCTTTTTCTGCCTAGCCTCTGTGGACCAATGCATTATTACTAAATGCCAAGAAAACCCAGGGAAGAGGAGCCAGCTGGTAGGCTTACTGCTCTCAGAAAACCTGAGGCTGCTGCCAGGGTATAGCCTGGCACTCAGTTCAATGCCAGAGCTGAGCTCCATGCCAGGACACAACCAGTGGAACTATCCCTGCTATCAGTTTACATCACACCATGCCTCAGAGTGAGCCCTGGCTTAAATGCAGGGCTAAACCATGGCAGCTGAAGACGGAAATGTGGATGGCTTCTTTATGAATGAAACTCCTGAATCCCTCTAGCACACACTGCATTTATTTGCTTATACCACTGTTTTCTAATTGAATGACACTGTTCCTAATTACAAATTCTTGAAAGGCATTTAAACACAGAAGTTGTCTCCAGCTTTCTCAGAGGGAACAGGACATCAAAACAATTATCCTTATCGCACTATAACTCTCCTTTACACTGTCTCCACCAGTATCCCATATGGAAAGTTTTTTTTTTGTTGTTGCTTTCCATTGTCACACAAAGTATTTCAATTACATTTTCTTGATAAATTAGGCAGTGTGACATCCTATTATTGTAAAGATGTATTCCTTACAGAGCTGCCCCAACACTGGACACTACTGTGGCATGTGAAAACAGACTATGGCAACATACCCAGCATGCTGTAATTATGTGAATAAGTAATAATGAAGAAGATCTCTAAAAAAAGCACACCACTTGACATTGGCCATGTATATATAGCTACTCTCCTGAGCAACCCTATGTCAGCAAGTTATAAGTATCAAGTAACTCAAAGCAATTCAAAACCAACAAACCCAATGTACCGAATTAGATTCAAAGAGCATTATTGGCACAGGGCCTGAGCCACAAATTTAGTCCCAGTTCTGAATTTTCCCAAGGTTCACAGAAATGGGCAAAAGGGACATCTGAAGTCAGAGTCCAAACTAAATCCAGTTCTACTTCATGCAACAGACAGTAAGAGTGACCTAAAATCCTCATGAACAATAAAAGCCAAATTCAAAATGGCACCTTAGGCAGCCAAATCAATATAAGCAAACCACAAAAACTCTGCAATGTGGCATACTTATTCAGCAAGAATTTATAAATGTGGCTAAAATACTGTAACAGAATTTGTGGTACTTGATTGCATTGTCAGCTAGGATAGTGTGTTACCATCTAGGACCAAATCACTCATAACCACGGGGGATAGCTGAAACAAGCATTCCTGATGACAGTGTCCTGCCCCATGAGGCTCAGTGTGCATGCCAGACAGAGCTGAGCACAACCCAATGAACAACAAGCTGCTGTATCCAGAGATATGGATGTAGAGAAAAGTATGTGCACAGAGAGAACCAGGGAAAAAAAGAGGAAGGAGGATACAATCAGGCACCCAGTCCCAAGTGAAAGAAAGATTGCAGAGACTCTTCTTATTGGTTTTCCCTATCAACCAGCTTAGGTACTCCAGATTATTCAGAGTTGTAAAGACCATCCCAGACATTATTCTCAGAACTCAGTTTCTTAACTTCCCAGTGAACCTCCATAAGGATCTAAAAACATTGCTGCTCAGAAGACAGAGTGTAGATATAGACTTGCATCCTAACTCAGGTAGAAGTGTGAGTTTAAAGAAAAGAAGCAGTAAAACCAACATGCAAAATTGAGTTGTACTTTCAAAGAACTGGAGTGAAGAAATCCTGCTCTTTGGAATCAAGCAAGAACATCTGTTGGTTACAAAAAAGCTACTAATGACATACTATGACAGGTCCGAATGTCAAAGCATTTTTAGTTTACTTTTTAAATGGTTTTCTTAATAATTATTTATAATGTTTAACTTAAAATGACTTGCAGTATACAAGTTGTCCTACTAACTACAAAAATACTACCGTCACTACACTGTCGTCATTACTAATTTCAAGACAGCAATGGCGAAACCTGACCCCACTGAAGTGAGCTGGATTCCTGACACTGACTTCATCCTATCAAGTGCTTCCCACAGAAGTAGATCATCTAAAAGATGTGCAAATCATCCAGTGGTGTGAAGGAAACAAGCTGGCAGCTTTCTTCAGACAGTAAGTGAATGTTCACCCAAGTCAAGAGCAACTCGCTGGAAAAAAAGTATAATGCTGATCATTCAAACCTGCTGGCAAAAAGGCTTACAGTTTATAAAACTTCAGAAATTATTTAGGAACACATTGGTGTTCCTATGCATTTCATCATCATCATTGTCATAGAAAGGCTTGGGTTGCAAGAGACGTTAAAGTTCCAACTCTCCTGCCGTGGGCAGGGACACCATTTGAGCTAGAAACTCCTAGGTCTGTTTCAAGATATTTTGCTCTAGTCACCGTGATGATACTAAATGGACCCTCAACCCATTAGCTCAGCAATTTTCAAAGTAATTAATCAATCAAACCTCACATGCGTTGATGTGAACCGACACCTGAATTTCAACCTATGCTCCGCTTTGACAGCTGCATTCCTCTGAGATCAGAATTTGCCCTAATCTCTGGGTGAAATGGAGCAAAATTCTTCTTAGTCAAATAATGTGGTGATCTTCTATTGACCAGTGAATATGGTCTTGAGGAAAGGCCGCAGAAAGAATATGCCCACCTCCCAAAAAAAAAAAAAAAAGGCAACACAAATCAGTTTATTTTACAGATTTACAGGTACAAAGATGTAATGCCAAACACAGAAATGCTGCCCTGACTGCAAGTGCAAACACGGAACTAAGCTTTCATTATCATGAATAAAGGTAAACAAGTCTAATCAACCAACCCTTTTTTTTTTTACCTGGTAGAAGCCAAGAGACATAATTAAGGCAGAAATAGGAGGCTCTGCAAACACAAAGGTAACTGTAACCATGTAAGCATATTTCAATGAGCCTGCCTACACCTTCTCAACGGAAACAAAGTATTTGGAAGAGCCAGAACCATAGATTAACAACTCTCTGGGCCAGGACTTGCCTCTATCAGAGCAGCTATCTTTCAATAGCCAGGTTTACAGCACCTCTAGGGACACAGGCCATCTCTCACCACAAGTCTGCAAGTACACTTTCCAAACATTAATTAAACTTGAGAAATGCTGCACGCAGAAAGACTGGGCAGGAGTGAAGCATATACAAGTGGCCATGGATTTTGGCTGGCTCCTAAGATGCTAAACCAAGTTAGTGGCGGTGTTAGCATAAAAAGTTATAAAAAATTGTCAGGGAAGTATTCAAACGAAAGCAAAACATAACAAAGTGAAATATTGCTGAAAATGAAGTTGAATTAACTCTAAATCCAGACTTTAAACTATCTCTTTATTCACTTCATTTGGTGTCAGAATCCATCTTGCCTTTCTTTTAATTAGCTCTAACTCAAAAAAAAAAAAAGCCTCCCATGAAAACAATGGGACCACTCTCTGAATTGAGGATGACTGAGCACATGAAAACAGAATTGACCCAGCGCACCAAGAGCTTCCAAAGTTTTTGTGCTTTAGGCAGAGCTCTGTTCACTGGATGCTGTATCCTTGGAAACTATTATGCGAGGAAACCGTTCTACAAATGCAAAACTTCTGTCTGCTCCATGAGCTTTTCTCTGAAATACTTTTATGGGGTTTTGGATATCCTTAAATCTAAGGGGACACACAGCCCTTTGTCATCTTTCCACAGGCTCCCATGAGCATAATACAACAAGTGATGTTAAGAGAGTATTTTCCTCCCACTTCATCACAGAGCAAATAAAATTTTTTACAACTTTTACAACTTTTACTTTGTAAAAAAAAAAAAAGTGGGCATTTTTTCCTTTCTTCTTCAGTGCACTCCGCAGAACTAATGTGCAGATACAAGATAATAATGAAAAGACATTATTATTATGCCAATCAATGGCATTGCTTTGAAAACTAAAAATTCAAGAATAATGCTCGGGTGCCTGATTTCAAGGGCAGAGCTACAAATGCCAGCACATGTATTAGAAGAAGCATGCAAGAAGAGATAGGTAAGACTTGACAAGGGCCATGCTGCAGTCCTTCGCAAGAGGGACTAATAGCACCGATTGTTTCAAGGGCAGCAGACGCTGCTATTTTTACCAAAGCCCCGGCTGGAACTGCCTGGCTCATTAAATCTCGACCAGGCAAAGCCTGGGTCCTGCCGGCGCGACCGTGCCCGGCGGCCCGACACACCACGTTATCCCGCAGTATCCCCAGATACCCAGGCAACGCTAGCGAAGGACAGGCACCGAGTACTTGATACCCAACTTGGCCTCTGGTGTGATGAGGTTTTTCTTCTCCTAGGGAAAGAGTGAGGCAGCTATAGCTAAAGCAGAGGCGGTAGCTGCCCTTGAGAGCGTTTGGGAACGCGGGAGAGCAGCAGAGGGAACCCCTCCGCCGTCCCCCGGGGCCGCTCCGCCGGACTTAGGGAGATGCCGATACTGCCGGGGCTAAGGATACCGGAGGCAGGGGAGCCGGCGGGGCAGCCCCGCCGCCGGGCTTGGAGCCCTGGCTGCCGCCCCGCAGGGGCCGGGGGCCGCCCGCCGGCCTCCGCTCCCGCTGCCGGGGAGGCCGCTGCCCTCCCGCGGCGCCCCCCACTCACTCGCCCCTGCCCTCCCCCGGTACCTTCTGCGGGGCGCGGAGGAGGCGGTGCACCCCGGCCAGCTGGGTGGCGAGCGGGATGTCCTCCCGGAAGGTGTACAGCGGCGGCCGGGTGGGCTCGGGGAAGTTGGTGCTGTTGAAGGGGTCGGTGTCATCCAGCAGCTGCACCCGGCACACCAGCGTGGCCATGGCGCATCCATCCACCGCCGCGGCCGGGCGCGGGCGGGAAGCGGCACCCCCAAGTCACCGGCACCGAGGTGCTGCCTGCGCGCCCGCCGCCGGCTGCGAGCGGCACTCCCTTCCCCGGCGCAGCCTGGCCGGCCGCCGGCAGCCTCTCCCCCCGGCTCCCCGAGCGAGCGCCGGCCGCCTCACAGCCGCCGCGCCTCGGGGAGGCGGCCCATGGCCCCTTCTCCGCCGGGATCCACGAGTGCGAGCGCGCTTCAGGCCGAGCGAGGAGGAGGAGGCGGCGCCGGAGCCGCGGGGCGCGGGCAGAGCGGCAGCAGCGGCGGCGGCGGCAGCAGCTCCCCCATTCCCGGCCGCTGCGCGCCGAGCGGGCAGCGGGAATGCCGTGGCCGGCACGCGCAGCCCCCAGGCCGCGCTCAGGGCCTGCAGCGCCCCCGCGCGGCCGCGCGCCGCCGCCCCGCCTCCCCCGGCCTGAGGAGACCTCCCCGCGGCCGGGCGGGAAGGGAGAACTGCCGGGATAGCCCCCGCCTCCGCCGGCCTCCGCGGGCACGGAGCACGCACCGAGGGGCCCAGAGAGAGAGAGGGGGGGGCCAGCGGGACCCTGGGCACGGAGACACACACCGAGAGGGCCGGAGAGAGGAAGAGGGGCCAGCGGGCCCGCCGGCCGCGCCCGCTGCATCACCCTTGGCTCCCGGCAACAGGGCGCGTGTACTGAGCTCGGTGTTGCTGTCACAAACATCCCAGATGTCCTAAATCTTCAGTGTAATATTTACCCCGTTCCAAATAAAAGCTTTAAAAATACCTGCCTTAAAAAAAAAAAAAAAAAAAAAAAAAAAAAAAAAGTTTTCGAAACTGACCTGAAACATGGGTATTCTTTAGAAACTGACCTGAAACCTGGGTATTCCTTGGAAGCTGACCTGAAACCTTGTGGGTATTCTTTAGAAATTGACATGTAACGTGAGTATTCTTTAGAAACTGACCTGAAACCTTGTGGGTATTGTACACAAGATCGTTTTTCTGTATTTGTACAAAACCATTTCTGCCATTAGGATTGTGCATAGCCGGGGTTCGTCTGGCTTCCCAGAGCATAGGGCCTGGGCAGACTTCCCATCCCAGACAGGAGGCTGCCTGTCTTTGCGTCTTGGCTCTCTCTTGCCTTAAGGCTGCTCTTTCTTTCTTTCTTTCAGGGGAAAATGGGGACGAAGTGCCAAGCTCCTGGGTGGGCACAGGGCAGAGCACTGCACTCTTTGCTCTTGGAGGTGGAGCTGTGCTCTGTCTGCAATCTCCGGGCTGGGATTCAGGATGCACACCCCAGTGTTCACTCTTGGGGGCACGGGGTGTAGGAAGAGCAATGAAATAAGTTACAGGTGAAATACAGAGAGTGAAGGGTCTCACCTGTGGGAATGGCTGCATTTGCGCAGGCTGAGTATCTGCCCAAAGGGATGCTCCATGGTTTAAAGCCATGGTTCATAACCTTTCATCCTTCACAGACTGGCCTGTGGGATAAGACCTGAAGTGCTGTGGGAACTGGGGGATTTACCACAGAAATGTGTCTTAGGCAAGAAAGTATGACCTCTAGATCATAGTGTTTGCATGAAGCAACAGTTTCCTCCCAAAATGATTACTGGCTTGGGAGTATTTGTCAGAACTGAGACAAAAGGGGATTTCTGTCCACACATGGTCTGTCCTTCTGTTTCTGTTATTCTTGAGACTAACTTGTCATGGTTCAGTTTTGCCAGCAGTTATGCATATTTTCAGAAAAGAAGTTGTATGTGGTTGTGATTTTTGCATCTAATGATTTTAAAATTCCTATTTGGCAAAGAAATCTGTTTTCACATCTCCTCTAGTAACAGGAAGTAAGTTTCTAGAGAAAACAGTACTGCTGTATGACTGTCTGCTTATTTATGTTATATATTTTTGTCACCATGTGAAGTGAAAGTTAAACAGGATATTTTGGTTTTCTTAATCATAATTTGTTAAATTGCCATTCAACTTCCATTTTTGTAAAGCAAATTTCTACATTTGCTGCTAATCAGTGGTTAATATGAGGTGGCATAAGATTGCCATCCTTGCTATTCATTGTATTAACCCTGATTTTTTGTAAATTAAAATCTGGCACTTGCCTCATTGCAGAGGTATTAATACTTGGAGGGCCGTTTTAAATAAATCATGGAAGCCATGATTTTGAATAGAATCTATGTGACAGCATCAGCTTCTCTTTCATCCAGTACTGGAAAATGAAAGCAAAGGATGGCTGCAATCCTTGGATCTAACAGAGATCAGATAACTCTGAAGCTCAACATCTAGCCACAGACTCTAAAGCCCATAAGGAAGAGCTATTACTTGCATGTTGTGGTCTTCAACTGGATTTCCAAATACAAGGTGGCCAGTGGAGAGACATTTTATGACCAAGATGGAAGGAAAATAGAGCGATCCAACCATCAAAGCATCCTGAGTTAGCCAGAGCTTTTTTACAATTATTTCTTAATTGTAAACACCCCCAAACCACTATAAGGCTATGAATTTCAAAATCTGGGTTTTACTTGAATTTTAATTCACTTTATACAAGTAGAAAGAGAAAACAAATCTGCTGGATAAAACAGAATAACATTACAAGGTCCTTAAGTGTGAGTGTAGAGGGAGAGATACACACCTAAATTCTACATTTGAATGTTTTCCCACCTTTCTACATATTTTTCAGGGGCCTTCTGAATCTGCAGTCTCTTCTCATCAGCCTGAGCCAGGGCTGTACATAGTTTGCTCCCTCCTCTTCCAGTCATCAGTTTATGATTCTGGTGCAAAGTTGTGAGGAAAAGTCCTTTCCTCACTCACTGCCTGCTTTTGCAGACTGCAGGAAAGTGATCTCTCTCTCTTCTCTCTCCAGGTTTTATTTATTCAATGCAGCAGCTAAACCAAGGCAAGCAGACAGACTTTCCTTCTCACTGTTCCACTACAGCCTTTCAAATGAATGTGAGATTCTTTTAAAAAACCTTAACACACAGTCAAATGCAAACAGTCAGATACCACCTGTTGGAAGTCTCTGGCATGAGGCACCGTGGGCATTGCACCTGGAAAGACACAGACACGACAAGAACAGCATAAGAGGTTGCCTCATCCCATTCCCCATGATGGAAGGTAAGGCCTTCTCAGAGAGAGAGAGCGCATTTACTTCAGTCATGCTGAACAAAATCAGCGCTCAGGAGCTCCAAGGAATTGCCAGCAAAGGGCAGGCTGTGTTCCTTGTGCCTTCAGTGGTATCATGGGCTAGCCAGTCCCATTCCTGGAGGAGGCACCTGGAGGAGACAACATGGGCTGTGTTACCTGCTGACCTTGGGGTCTCTGAGGGCCATCTCACACACCCTTTCCAGGAAAACAAAGCTTGCACTATGAAGTAAAGTTCAGTTTCAAGCTCACAGGTTTGTTTGTTTGTTTCACATAATCATGAGGGAGAAATCTTTTATGTGCACGTATTTCTCAGGAATGAAACATAACTTAGGAGTTGTTATTTAGGACTGATTTATTCATCTTAACCCATCCCACTATTGGGATTTCTTAGAAATACATTGTTGAGTGAGTTAAGATGGTGTGTCAAGCTTAAATTTGAATTTTATTATTGTTGAAACCTCAATGTTAAAATAACATAGGGTTTTTTGTGTTTAATTTCCTCTTTTTTATTAAAATAAAAAATATGTATTTGAGGCAAAGTTACTGAAAGCATATTTTTTAACTCAAAGACCACCCAGACACAATGTAAATGTATATTTAAGCAGTTTTAAAAAATGATTCTAAGTCTCAGAGAAATTGGAAGAGCTCCACAAGAGTATTATTTTTTCTGATATATTGTCATGTCAATATAGAGCTAGATGCATGATGGTGAGATTGAATTCTAAGTATGTGAAGTGGCACATCCTTTGACGCTATCTCTTACTTTTGGACAAATTGAATTGCTTTCCAAATTTCCTTGTTTGAACGTCAAGCCAATTTTAGTTGTGGGAGAACAAAAGCAATTTTAACTTCCATGATTTATTCACTTAACATTAATAAAGCTGAAAAATAGCAGTCTATTTGGTAATGGTAATCAAAATGAGCTTGCAAACCACTGGAATTGAAGTATGGTAATGGAAGTGCTGACAGATCCTCTACCATAGTGATGGGAACAGTATTTCTGCTTTATCCACACTATAATCTGTAAATAGTGCTTGGTTCTCTCAGTGAGGTGTGGAAAGTGATTTATTGTCACTGTTAGCATGGACAGGCAAATAGCCTAACACACTTTCAAAATAATGTTAAGTGCAATCCAGTCTGTCACAAGACCAAAAAAGAAAAATACTGTGGATTTTGGCCTTCATCATCCAAGGATCTCAAAGCTCTCAGCTACCATTAAATGTTGTCTGCTTGTTGCCACCCTGCAGATGGGGAAACTGGGAAGCTGACAGGTCAAGAATACAATACTAATATGATTTTTTTTTTAACTGATTGCAATGGAACCTGAACTGATATGATTGGGTCACAGAAAACATCCACAGAAAATCCCATGGTAACACAAATTTTTTCTTTGGTAGCTAAGGACTTGTAATAGTCCCAGAGTTTGTCAGTGGTCTTCATCAAGCTTAAATTGCAGAATCACACATTCCAATTCTGTTGAGGTCTACTGAAAAATATTTTTCTGTGGTGGCTGGCTAATACTTTATATGAAGTAATAGATATGCTATTAACACTGGGTAATAGTGCAGTCTGGTGATGAAGCTCAAGGTTCATAATTCTAAAGTCACTCAATATTCGAAGATAATGCACAGATCTGTAAAAACCAAGCCCTGGATCCATGGATATATCACCCCAGGATATAATCTGTTAGGTGTTCTGGTGGTGATGCTGCAGATCACCTTCTGTGCAAAGTCTTCACCTAAGACAGCCAGGTCTTAAAGATGTAATCATCGCTGAAACGGCTGAAAAGTGAGGTTTCTGTGATGTGCACACTTCTCAGTGCCATTTAATGCAGTCTTTGGTTGCACAAGCACACGTTTGGTTTCCTAAAGGACTGCAG